AAGAAAGAAAGAAAGAAAGAAAGAAAGAAAGAAAGAAAGAAAGAAAGAAAAAGAAAATCAAGCAAGTCAAATGAGAGAAAGCATGAAATGCAAAGGCCCCTGATTCAGAATGTGGAGTTGAGTCCTACAGATCAGCAAAAGCCACCTTCATGTCACACAGTTCAGGAGATCATTGTGAAAGTGCTGCGAATTATGCTGTCATTTTGAAGCTTGTAAATTTTTCATATTTGACCTATACATCCTGAGAAATGTAAGCTGTTTTTTTAAAAAAAATAAATATAGTAAATCTTCAATTTAGCAGACCCTCCATTTAACAGACTTTGGATGCAAGGGACAAAATTGGTCCACGCATTACCCACTTCTGGGTAAAGGCGCTCAAGGATCAGGGACTTTCAGCAGAATGATGCAAGCTGTGTCATGCCATTCTGGCATAAACTCCGCCCCTTTCATACATGGGGTGACATCATACAGAAAAGGGGCAGAGCTTGTAGCACAACAGCTCCTTGCTGCTTTCATTGATTGCTCCCCCACCCCACCCCCTTACCCAGTTTGCAGACCCCTCTGCTTCTATCCTGGCATAAAGTCACATCTGCCATTTTATGCAAGCATGGAATCTGTAAAATACCCCAAAATCCAGGTTTAACAGATTTTTGGCTTTAACAGGCACTCCTCCCCTTGTGCCACCATGATTTCATTTCTGACTGTAGTAAAACAACTTGCTGGAAGCACGTTCCTGAATATGGGGTTAGAAGTCTTCAGAATCTGAATCCGAGTGTGGGGTTAGAGGTCTGTGTACTATAAACAACGATGGGGGAAATAAAATCCACAGTAACAATGAGAATGAGTCACCTTCTCAGCTGGGAATAAGGGTATGGTAGACCTCCAGGTGTTAACAGGTTATAACTCAACATTGGCTACATTGCTGGAAGTTATGGTTCAACAGGACATGGGAGGTTGCCCATTAAAGGAGCAATAGTAGGGGGAGCGTGTCCAGAAAGTCAAGATGGTGGCCAAGTCCATGAGATCATGCAAAGTACATAAAAAGGGCACAGGGCATGGCCTGACATCTTAACTTTTCTAACTCCTAGAATTGGATGGGTCCTTCACCCATCATTCTACTGAAAGTCACCTTTCTGAAACTTCTCTGCCCACCTAATTCCCCTTAGGTCTACTCTCCTTCACTAGGTCAACTGACTTTTCCTTTAACAAGCCAAGTATGTATCACTTAAGCTACTTGGCCCCAAGCCATAAGTGGGGCTCCTATTCCAAATCTTGCTATCAAATTATGATGTCTAACGTGCCAGAAGGTAGAAATTATTAACTCTGCAGGAAGTAAACTGATCAGCTTCACCAAAGTCATTTTGTCTACCTTGCATTTTAATTAAATTAAATTGGGCTTTCCCCCCAGTCCTTCCACTCCTTTGTCCGCACCCTCCCTAGGTTTGGAGGGTGACCTCTAGCATGCCACTCAAAATCCAACATAGCCTTCATTCTTGCTCTGAGTGGCCCATGCCCAACCTGGTGCCCTGGAGATCATTGCTATTAAACCCAACTAGTGTGAGGTTGGGTGAAGCTCCGCTGAGCCCCCTTCTCTTTTTCAGATGGACAAAGATATGGATCGGACAAAGATCTGGATGAGAAGATGACCAACGGCCACTGGTCATGATGGCTATCTGTATCCACCGATGTTTGAAGACATACCGTCCCCCTCCCAATTGAACCCCGCACAGCTGGGCCAGACCAAGGAGAAAAGAACTACTGATTTCAGGAAGAGATCTTTAATGTTCATCTGGGTAAGTACAGAATCTTGGAACCTGCAAGAGGAAATTTGCAGCCTCCTTTCTAGTCAGTTCCTTAAGATGCAGTCTCTTGCATGCAACGCTTCTTCCCGTTTCTTGCCACGTGCACTGGGTTGTGCTTTATGAGATTATCTGCCAACACTCGCCTTCCACCGTTTGCTTACTTTCATCTGCCTCCCTTCCATTCTTTTCGCTGACCCCTGCTAACTGCCACAGCCCCGGATACTTTTGCATGGATGAGAAGGTGCTTCCCAGTCATCTGCATTTAGCCACCATGAGGAAAAAAGGATGACACAGCACAGGGACATCATAAGGCCAGGCCTGTCCTTCTGCCCTTGCATTCTGACATTGGACACAGGAGTGTAAGGTCCATGTCACGATCTCACGATGCAGATATTTCACGAGTGCTCGCCCCGTATGGACAATTAGGAAGTCCACTCAAGATAGGAACAAAACAGACAGCTCTGGTCTGATGCAGAAGACCTCAAAGCAGGGAAAGGGGAAAAGGAAAATCTATTTTTAGATTTTTAAATGTTTTTAGATGATTCAGCACAGTTTTGGCTTGCTGTGAGCTGTTTATTGCATTTGTTGTTCAGTGATAAACAAAGCCTTTACATCTCTGAAGGATCCTCTGGCAAAATCATCTCAAAATGAAGCTCAGTGAATAATAAACTGTAGAAGGGATTTTAAAACCCTGAACAAGGGAAGGGAAG